ACATTTTGGGGCATGTATTCTGTAATCTGTAGTGGAATACATTTTAAAAGTAACCTTTCCAACACCCTACACTGGCTGCATTAAAGCGTGTATTGACAAAGTCAACCTCTTATTTTGAAAGCTTCCGGTTATGTTCAGCTTACCATGCTGCTGTTGATAAGTGCTGCTGTTGATAAGTGCTGCTGTCATGCGCGAAGGAAATATTGTTTATTTACAATTATTCTGCGCAAGACTGTGATATTACGCAATACCAACTTTAAGTGTGCAGACTGTAGTTATTATTTTATTGTATGACACTCGCTGAAGATTATGTCCAAACATTGCAGCATGTTAATATTTAATTTTTCAGCTCTTTTTTTCTGTACTAAATGTGTTATGTTATCATGAAGAAAATTAGGTGTGGCGCCTTCCCTCTTGCAGATGAGCTAATGTGCTTAAAATTAGTATGTCTTCAAACAGGTTCATCCTAATGTACCCCACAGTTTCCATGTGCAGAGATAATGACCTCATGAAAGCTGCTATTCAGCTCTGAACCAGTTTTCCAAGAAAACAAGCTCAAATCAACTCAGTTTCCTATGAGATACAAAAGCAGCAGAACGCACAGCTGAAGGCTTCCGAGTAGAGCGCATTCCCGGAAAACACCAACATGCACGCACACACCCACACACACATGCTGCACACATACACATACAACCAGCTGACCTCTGCTGCTGAACTGTGACCCCTGCTGCTGCTTTCCTGCATGACTTTTATCACCAACACATGTGCACAATTAAAGGAAAAGAAATGAGGACACACACACTAGAAAATACAGAAAACATTTTATTGTAGAACCATTGTAAAAGAACAGCCCTCATTTGATCCTAGTCAGAGCTCAATCAGGTCACTGATGAAGGCAACTGTAAATAATGTGGATGAGTTTGTGTCTGCTAAAGCGTGGTCTGTGGGCACAGCACATTCCTGGGTAGTGTACTGTAAAGGATACTCCACCCTGAAGCAAAGAAATTCATGTAACTTCCCCCACAGATCTTGATGAGCTGAACTAATTATTGGTCAGGCGATCAAAAAAGATGGAAAGAAAAAGGCAGGAGAAGAGTGGAGAGTAAAAGAAAATTTTTACCCTTAACCCCCCCCCCCCCAAGCTTTATTCTGGAGACCAGCAGAGCAGTCCAGTTCATACTGTATACAACAACACAGATATGGTTTAACTGGCAGCTCATTATAGTCTGCACTGTTTCTAATGGTCAGCAGGGGGCGACAGAGAGCCGAATGAGAAAATGACCTCACTGCTCTCTTGATCTGCAACCACTGATGAGATTAAGCTTTGAAACTACACGTTGCTCATAGTCACATGCAGAGTAAAACAGTCGATAAAGCAGAATATGCTGTAGGGAGTAGTTACCCTGTGATCGACAAGTTAGTCGATCAGATGAGTGTGGAATATCCTCTCAGACTGACACATCTAGATTTTTTT